ACACGCCCTATAGCGAAAACCTCTCCAAAAAAAAAAAAAAAGAAAAGAAAACAACCCCCATGGGGCACGATCATACTGCAGTTCCTCCTCCTCTGTTTCTTCCTGATTTCGGGATTTGGGACATGCATGCACATGTACTCGGAGCATTTCTCGAGCTGCTTGATTCTGGAGTTGAACCACAAGTTGACCATGTGAGATCCAGCCACCTTAACCACCAGGCCACGAACTGGCCTGATATTGACTTTATTTTTTAACTTTATTTATTTATTTTAATTTGACCAGAATGAGAGAGAGACAGAGAGAAAGTGAGAAAGCAAGCCACCAGATCCGGGACTCGAACCACTGTTAGCCATGTGGGAGCCCAGCATCCTAAACTACCATACCACCTGCCGGCCTCCCGATACTGTCATTTTAAAAGAGACTAAGCAGTAGCCTTGTAGAACAGCACACATTCTTGATTTGACTAACTGATCATTATAATTAGAATTAAGTTAAACATATTTGGCAAGAATACTGTACTTATGTTTTTTGTTTTGTTTTGTTTTGTTTTTCAAAAGGCAAAAGTGTTGGTCTGTCTTACTATTCAGGTTGCTAAGATTTGATCATTCTGTTAAGCTGGTGACTATCAGATCTCCCCAATATAAAAGTACATATTTTTCCTTTGTAATTGCTAAATAATTCATGAGGTGATACTTTGATACCTTATGACTATTTTATTTCCCAACAAACTTCTTTTACCCAGTGGTTATAGCATTCATTAGTGATTTTTGCTGAATCAATGATCACACTGCAAAGTACAAAATGGTTTTTCCGGGCCAGCCCCATAGCCTAGTGGTTAAGGGAACTGGATCCCGCATGGCCAACTTCAGGTTGAGTACCAGTCCTAGAGGCTTGAAAAACACACTGGGCACATGTGCATACATACCCAAAATCCTGATGGGACCTCATATGAGCGTATTCCATTGAAGGGTGCTTTCTCCTCCTCCCCCTCACCCCTCCTCTTACTCCTTCCCCATCTCTTCATTTCCCACTGGTGAGCATTTCAGCCCCCCTGGCATTTTTTTTAAAGGTTTATGGAAACATGGAATTAAAGTACAAATTTTTTTCTTTTTTAATGTTCTTTTTTTTTTTTGGAGAGGTTTTCGCTATAGGGCGCATGTACTCGACAGAGAGACAGAGAGACAGAAAGCAAGAAATCACCCCCGGGGGCGGGGGGGGCATGCCACAATCCCTTCTCCTCCATTCTTCTCTCGGGATCTTGGGCATGCACACACACGCACCCAGCGTGAGTTTAATCCATGGGGTCCAGGACTCGAACTGGGGTTGACTTCATGGGAGTCCAGCAACATAGCCATTATGCTAACTGCTGGTCCCAATGTTCTTTCTGATTCTACAATTCTTTCTATACTTACCAACCAGCATTCTTCTGTAAAGATCTTCTCTCCCATTTTTTATTGTCAATACGAACTCATAAAGCTGCATCCCACATGGTCAACCATATGGTTCAAGTTCAGATGAGGCGGTTTAAAAACATACCAGGCATATATGTGTGCATGCCCAAAAATCTTTAAAAAAAAACAGGGGTGGGGGGGAATGGAGAAGGGATTATAGTGTGATCATTCTCCATGAAGAGTGCTTTCTTGAAGGGTCTGTCTCTGTGACACTCTCTGGTAAATGCACACACTCTCTGGCAAATTTTCTTAAACTATGGACTCAGGGATTCTTTCTATGACACATATTTTTCTATGCTAAAATTGTCCTAAATCCGGACAATAAAAATCTCTTCAAGTCACCTTCCATTTCTTTTCTCTCTCTTTTTTTTTTTTTTATTACTGCTAGTGGGCACATGGGCTCACCAGAGAGACAGAAGCAGAGGGGAAGCAAGCACCCCTCACTTTCCACTGGGTTGCTGGCAATATTTCTTGGACATGTCTGCCACCACTTAATGATAACTTCTTGTCCACAATTTTTTTCAACTCAGGAGGGTGAGTTTTGCTCCTGGTATCTACTCAGCGGGCTCAGAGATGCCTTTTGTATTATTATTTTTTTTTATTTGACCAGAGAGAAAGGGAAAGTGAGAAAGCAAGCCACCAGGTCTGGGCCTCGAACCATGGTAAGCCTTGTGGGAGTCCAACATTCTAACCACCATGCCACTTGCTAGCCCCTACGAAGTACTGTTTTAAACATGTATAACAAGGGCTCACATGCTTATGAAGAGCGATGTGGGTAGTGAAAAGGAATCTCCCCCCCACCCCCCGGGGAGATGGTCACATCACAATCTCCTCTCCTCCAATCTCCTCTTAGGATTTTAGATACATGTGCATCCACTCCCTGTTTTTCAAGTTGCTGGATCTGGCACTCCAACCAAGCAATTGGCCATTGGTGAGATCTAGCCACCCCAGCCTCCACACCACCAGTTGGCCTGATTCCTCAACTTACAAAGGCTAAAAGACCATCTCCAGGTTTTGACATAAGTTTTTTCTTTCTCTTTCTCTCTCTCTTTTTTTTTTTTAATAGGTTATTGCTATAGAGCATGTGAGCTCACCAGAGACAGAGAGACAGAAAGTGATTTCTCCCTCAGGGGGTATGGCCACACCACAATCCCTTCTCTTCCATTCTCCTCTTGGGATTTTAGGAACACACGCACAAGCACCCAGCATTGAGTTTCAAGCTGCTGGTCCCGGACTCAAATCACAGACAACTATGTGGGAATCCAGCACCACAACCATTATGTTATCTACTGGTCCCAACTTCCTGTACTTTTTCTTCTCCTTTTTTTTTTTTTTTTTAAGAGATTTTTGCTACAGGGCACATGTGTTTGCCAGAGCACTTGCCGGAGAGACAGAGAGACAGAAAGTAAGAAATCACCCTCCAGGAGGATGGCCACGCCATAAACCCTTCTCCTTCATTCTCCTCTCGGGATTTTGGGCAGACTCGCACACATGCCCAGTGTGAGCTCAAGCCGCCAGGTCCAGAACTCAAACCACAGGTGGCCATGTGGGAATCCAGCAATATTACCATTATGCCATCTGCTGGTCCCTTATTGTACTCTTTCTAGATTTACAGTCCATTCAGGTCAATGTTCTCTAACTAATAATAGTTCCTGTTGTTTTATTATAAAACCTCAGAGCAGATAAGACCATACAAATCATCTCTCATACAACATTCATCTAATACTTGAAATTTTTCTACAACCCCATCAATTCGTCAAATAGAACATGCTGAAACCATCTGTAGGAAGAACAAAGTTCTCTGCTTTCTGTGTCATGTGTAGACAATTTTCTCTAGTACACAGTCCCTCCTTGTGTTACAATGCCAAAGTATGTCCTCTTTAGCTTTGCATGGGTCACAAAATAGTTGTGTTCCTCTTCTACATAACAGCAAAACAAATACTTGAAATAGTACCCATATAAGATTATGCTTAGGCCCATTAACTTAAACCTCAAAAGACTAAATATGAAGCCTTAAAATAGTTTAATTTCATATAATAATTACTTATAAATCTATCATTCATACATATACCTTTTATAGAAGTTAACTGCATTTTCAGCTTCAAAATAAACTATTGTAGGGCTCCTATTCAATATCCTATTTCAAGACTAGGGAAAAAAAAAAAGGCAACTAGAGCTCATCAGGGTGAGATCTAAAAACAAGCTCAACTTAACTCTATGACTTCATGGTTTTCTATACTTCAAGTCTATCCCTTTAATTTACAAGCTGAAAAACCCAAACCCTTTTACATACTGTGGTATCTCTCCCGAAATTATTTTGCCTTTCTACAAACCAGTTCTAGTTCTTGTCCTCCTATAATGTATCACTTGTAAAAAGTAAAAAGATAGGACAACTTTGTACCATAATAGGATTACATTTTCTAGTTTGTTTTCAACCCATATCCAAATAAACACAGTTTACTGAGCCAGTCCTGAATACATGCATCAAGCTAGGATGATGACAGTTTCAATATTTGAGGTGAGTCATCTTGCTATTTGTGATCAAGTAGTAGGTACTTATCCTGTACTAGCAAATATAAGCAAGTTTCTTATAGCACGAGTTGTTATAAGGTGGATATAACATCGCTGATTAATTAAGGGAAAAGGTCAGCACACAAAGGCGTTATTATTACAGTGCTAACTGGAATCAACAGAGTAAGTAGGAAAAATAACAGCTACATGCGAAGAACAGGCATACATAGCTGCATTGTTTGAAGGTCTGGATGTTCTTCTGGAATAGAACTGTTTTGTTTATCCAAGCATTCTTTTATTCTTTTGTTTACCACTGGCAGTTGTGAATAGTCCTGTAAGCAAAACTGCAGGGTCAAGGACAAAGGTCATAGGGGAAGCTAAGCACTTTATGAGTGTGTGAAATAAAGGGTAAAGAGGAAACATTTGGGTCCTTTTTTGTTAATTTTAGTCATATTTGTTATTTTTAGATTACAGCTATCAAATGTTTATATTTTAGGAAAGCCGACAGAAAAATCTCTGGTCCTTTCTCTCCAATGAAACTGTCTCTCTCTCTCTTTTTTTTTTTAAAGAGAGATTTTGCTATAGGATGTGTGCGCTCGTGGGAGAGACGTCGAGAAAAAGTGAAATATCACCTTACAGGAGGGATTGCCATGCCATAATCCCCTTTCCTCACGGGATTTTGGATACACATGCACGCATACATGGCGTGAGTTTCAAGGTGCCAGGTCCAGTATTCAATCTGAACTACGGTCAGCCATATGGGAGTCCAGTACCTTAACCAATACACCACCTGCTGGTCCCAAAACTGCTGGTTTTATAAGAAATTTTCCATAGTAAGAGATTTCATAGAAGCTTAACCCATAAAGTTATACCATACACAACTGTCAATTATAAATCTAATAATACTAGTAGAATAAAAATTAGTAAGAGTTCTTGCTGAACACAGAAACACTAAAAATATAAAAAGGCAAAAGGCAAAAAAATCTCCAATACTGCCAGCAAAAAAAATAAATAAATAAAAAATAAAAAGTTACAGTTATGCTCGCTTCAGCAGCACATATACCAAAATTGGAATGATAGGGAAGATTAGCACGGCCCCTGCGCAAGGAGGACACGCCAATTGGTGAAGTGTTCCATGTTTTCCTAAATGTCACTAACAGTGGAATTGGAGCATTTAACCAGCCCAGTATGGCTTCCAAAAAAAGAAGAGGTTTATGATAGAGTCAAGTTTCTAATACAGAATTATTTTTAATTTTTAATAACCTGCATGTATTGCCCTGTTTTGGCACTAGAAAGGGAAAATGAGAACTATGTGTACACCAGTTTCATTGGAAGGCTAGAGGGAATCATTTCTCATCACTAGGAACATAAATAAATGTCTGGCTATCTGGACCCACAATTAACCACGGTGGTCATCTATGAAAGAGACTGGAACTTATTCATTTCGGCTTTTTAAAACATTCTTTTTTTTTTTTCTTTTTTTGGAGAGATTTTCACTATAAGGCGTGTGCACTCGCCAGACAGACAGAGAGAGACAAAGAGACAGAAAGCGAGAAATCACCCCCCAGGGGGGATGGCCACGCCACAATCCCTTCTCCATTCTCCTCTTGGGATCTTGGGCCCGCACACACACGCACCCGGTGTTGAGTTTTAAGCCACCGGGTCCGGGACGTGAACTGTGGTCGACTACATGGGAGTCCAGTGCCATAGCCATTACACTAACTGCTGGTTCCCAAAACATTCTTTTTTTTTTTTAAGAACAAGAGTCTGAAGATATTTATGCTTAGCTACAGTATTCAGGAAAACAGCCATTTCTTTAAAATGTACATTCCACATTGGGGAAAAAAACACACGCACACACACAAGAAAATCCCCCCATTTCCAGAGGTACCAAATAAATATAAGTGGCTTCTAAATTATAACCAGTCTTGTATTTTTTAAAATGGGGTTTAAAAAGTCAAATGTAACCCTATTATGTTTTAAGACTAAGAAAACTGATAACTGCATCTTAACTGATGGTGTTTCCTTCAGATTTATGTGGGCTCTTAATGAAAATGAAATGAACCAGGTTTCTGATTTCTGTTTAATCACTGTTGGCCATTTCCTAAGTTTTGTTGTTTGGAGACAGGGAGGGTTTTGTTCCCTTTGGACACGACAGTCAATGCACTAACAATTATGTACATTCAAACTTGATTATTCTAAATTTGACTTCAGCTGTACTGTAAATAGAGTACTGTATTAGGATCTTCATAAATGTCTCATTTTTTGTAATATTTAAGAGTTGCTTAAAATTATACAAAATGTACAGTTATCTAATTATTTCTTTCTCTCCACCTTTTGAAAGAAAGAGGCTTCAGTTCCTGCATGGCTAGAACAGTAATAAACACAGTACCTGTAATTCCTAGACATATGTTAGTAACAATCTTGCAACCTTGTTTTCCAAAGTTCATTTTATTTTGATCAGTTCACTATATTGTACTAATTATTTTAGGTACTTTCATTATATGAAATCTACCATGTGTCAGAGATGATTTAAGTGTAGAACTGCTAGAAGAACTTGTATATTTACGGTAATTCAGAATTAGTAAGGAAAACAGTTCATCAGTGTTTAATTTTATATTGATGTACTCAAGTTGGAATAAAGTGGTATAAAAAGAAAAAAAAGCTAGTCATAGGTATGGCAGGTGGCATGGTGGTTAAGGAGCTGGACACCCACATGCTCAACCATGGTTTGAGTACTGGACCCAGTGACTTGAAATTCACACCGGCATGTGTATGCATTTGCCCAAACTCCCAAGAAAAGAACGGGGTGGGCGGGAGGGGCAGGAGGCATGGTGGTTGAGGGCACTGGACTCCCATATGGTTAACCATGGTTCAAGTTCCAGACCTGTTAGATTGCTTTCTTACTTTCCCTCTCTCACTCTGTCCCTTTCTGGTAAAATTAAAATAAATAAATAAATAAAGCTAAATAAAATAAGTTAAAAGAAAAAAAGAACAGAGGGGAAGGGGTTGTGGTGTGGTCATCCCCTCTGGGAGGTGATTTCTCATTTCTTTCTTACTGTGTTTCCGGCGAACCCACCCCTACGGCAAAAACCCTTAAAAAAAAGGTTACAGTCACTGCAAAAACGACAGATTTTCTGAAGTTAAAGTACTAGAAAGAAATTTATAATAAAAGTATCAATATTTGCAGATAATATTAATATTTACCTATAAAATCCAAGACAGTGAACTTAAAAAGCAGTAAGAAATTTAAACTACTTGGACACAAAACTGCACAAAGTTTATATTTATTTGGGATGTATGGTAGATTAATGAAGATATGTTTACCAGTCCCTACTTCTGCACACAGTTTTAAGACTTTATAACAAATAGTCAAATATATACATATATATGTGTATGTAGATCAGATTTAGCAAATAAAACACAGGAAGCTCAAATAAACCAGTATTTAGTATAAGCAATAAAAATTTTAGTATGTTGCAAATATTGCATGAGATCTACTGATACATAAAACCAAAGAATACTAAAGTAAATAAAATATCTTGCAATGAAGATGACTTTAGGTTAACAACTTTTTTTAAGAAACAATGCCAAAAAACACAGCAACGAAAGGACAAATAATATATAGGACTATATCAAAATTAAAAACTTTTGGGGCCAGTCCATGGTGTGATAGTTAAGACAGCTGGATTCCACATGGCTGACCATGCTGTTCAAGTGGCGGGCGTGGCAGCTTTATCAACACACCAGGCACATGTGCATAGATGCTCCAAATCCTGATAGGATGGAAAAACAGAGAAGTGACTGCGGTGAGACCATTACCCATGGAGAGTGTTTTCTTACTTTCTCTCTCTCTCCGTCTCCCTCTGAAGGGTTATGCACCTTCTAGCAAAAATTTTTTAAAAATTAACAACTTTTGAAACCAGCAGTTGGTGTAAAGACTATGTCGCTGGACGGACATACAGTTGACCGCAGTTTGAGTCCAGCACCTGGTGGCTTAAATTCACACACCGCGCGCGCGTGTGTGTGTGTGTGTGTGTGTGTGTGTGATCCTGAGAGGAGAATGGAGGAAAAGGGATTGCAGCGTGGCCATCCCCCCTGGGGAGTGATTTGTCACTTCCCATCTCTCTGTATCTCTCTGTCCTTCTGGAGAGCGCAAGAGCCCTATAGCAAAAAGCTCTCCAAAAAAAAAAAATGAAAACAACCTTTGTGCTACAAACAAAACCAATCATAAAGTAGAAAACAACTTAAATATCTGCAGACTATATATTTGATAAGGGTCTAGTATCCAGAATATATAAAGAATTCCTGCAACTCAGTAATAAAAAGACAACACAATGTAAAAATGAGCAACGAGGACCAGACTGGTAGTGTAGTGGGTAGCAATCTGAACTGCAATCCTGGAAGGTGAATGGCTGACTACAGGTCTGGATCCCAGGGGATCAGTCTCAAAATACACCAGGTATTTGTGTGTGTGCCCAGGATCCTGACGAGCTGGAGGGATGGGGAAAATGGATCGCTATGTGATAGAACCCCGTTGCCTTTCTCACTCTACTCTCTTTCCTTTCTCTCATAGGGAA